CCGTCCGGCTCTCACTTGCCCCGGCGCTGTCTCTATGGAGCTCAATGTACTGTAATGGCTGTGAGAGCTGGAGCCAGACGCAGCCTCCTCACTCTCTCTGCTCTGTAACATTACTCTCTAGTTGTTTTTTTAAAACTAGATTTTCTATCAGCCTAGGAAGACAATAGAACATGAATATTGATCCATGGAGCAATTATATTTCTCATTAGGGATAATGAAATCAGATTTTTGCTGCAAGTAATTTTTACCCAAGGGTGGATGAAACTGAGCTTCCTGAACTTTTTAGATTGGAAGGCTAAATTTGGAGGCAACTACAATCATGAGCTCTCTCCCTTGAAAGTATCAGAAGTCCTCAGAGTATTTTTACACAGCAGTGGGACATTTACCATTTTATTTCTCAGTAATCTGTTTGTGGTTCAATGGAAAGCATACAAGGTTGGTATTCTAGTCCTGCTTGTGATTTACTATGTGACCCCAGGCACTAATTAAAGCTTATGTGGCAAAAATTACCTCATTCTTCAACTCAAAACAATACTGGCTTTATGTGTACTTAATTGTGGTGATAAACAAGAATGTAATGTGGCCAGGTGTGGTGGCTCATGCCTGTAATCCTAACACTCTGGGAGCCAAGGCAGGTGGATTGCTTGACCTCATGAATTCGAGACCAGCCTGAGCCAGAAAGAGACTCTCTGGCTGGGCGCCCTTATTCGGTGGTTAGGGTGCTGGCCACATGCACTGGGGCTGGTGCGTTCGAATCCAGTCTGGGCCTGCTAAACAAAAAATAGCTGGGCGTTGTGGTGGGTGTCTGTAGTCCCAGCTACTTGGGAGGCTGAGGCAAGAGAATCACTTAAGCCCAAGAGTTAGAGGTTGCTGTGAGCTGTGACGCCACAGCACTCTACTGAGCGCCACATAGTTGAGATTCTGTCTCAAAGAAAAAAAAAGGTAATAGTTGCTGAAGTTTTCATCTAAAGCATGTAGTTGTTATAGCAAATATGTATTTGTGCTCAAGTTCATTATGCATTGGTGTTAGACTTACAAAAGTAGTTAAGAATTCAGAGAATGGAGGGATCACATTTGGTGGAGTACAAGATTAGGGGTGTAATCAGAAACATTTAATAAAGGAGGGAGGAGTTGAGCTGGGTCTGGGGAACAGGAAAGGTGGTAGAAGAGGGTTATCTGGAAGGGTTAAGAGAAGAAAGGCATTGGGATTCTTAGTCTGTCCACAGCTTTCTTTTCCAGACTTCTGTACGCTCCAGACTACATGCTATCCTCTGAATCACAGACATGTGTGTGGCACACAGCAGGCAAATCTTGAAGATCCAGCTTCTACCTCTTCATTGTTGCCTAACCTAACTGGAATTTATCATGCTTTCCCTTGTATTTGCCCCACCCTGTTTGTATGACCTGTTGCTTTTATTCTAGTTCAATAGAACCGTCTCCCTTGCTTAACAGTAAGCTTTTTGGAGACATGAATTGGAGGTTTATCTTTTTTCCTAAGCATCTAACTTAAAGCCCTTCCTCTTAATTAGGAAATGTTTATTCAATTGAATTTGCTTCAAGGACACTGATGTCACTATCAAGTGAAGAGCGTGTTGGTGTCATCTTTATATTTCCTTACATCATCTGTGTGAAGTAAAGATGCAGTTTAAAAACTTACAGATGAGGAAACTCAGAGGGTACACTTCCCCAAAGTCATCTACTTGATACATGTCAAAAACCAGACTGGGCTCTTTTTTTTTATAGAGCTTCACTCTATTGTCCTTGGTGGAGCTCTGTGGCCTCCTAGCTCACAACAACCTCAAACTCTTGGGCTCGAATGATCCTCTTGCCTCAGCCTCTAGAGTAGGTGGGACTACAGGTGCCTGCCACAACACCCAGCTAGTTTTACAGACAGAGATTTTCAAGCTGGTCTTGAACTCCTAAGCTCAAGTAATTCACCTGCCGTGGCCTCTCAAGAGGGCTAGGATTATAGGCATGAGACATTGCATCTGGCCTGGAAAGAGCTCATTTGACTTAAAATTCAGTACCTATCCACTATACCTGAGGTTTCTAGAGTCAGACAGATAGGGTTAAAATAACTCTCAGAGCCTCAGTTTTCTCATCTGTAAAAGGGAGTAATAGTACCTACCTCACAGGATTATTGTAAAGATTAAATGGGGTAGTGTCTGAGACCCTAGCTCGGTGCCTAACTACGTAGTGGGCAAATGCTTGTTCCTGCCTAAGCTTATTACCTCATGGGGATTCCGATGGACATGCTCAGATAAGTAAGAGGCTTTCAATTCTGGGGTGCAGTGGGAAGTATATGACTACACAGGGTGGGGTGTCTCTCTGTAACCTCTTAACAGTTGTAGCCTTGGCAGGGTGTGGTGGCTCACACCAAAAATCCCAGCACTTTGGGAGGCCAAGGTGGATCACTTGAAGTCAGGAGTTTAACATCAGCCTGAGCCAACATAGCGAAGACCCCCATCTCTACAAAAAATAGAAAAATTATCCAGGCCACTGCATCTGTAGTCCCCCCTGCTCTGGAGCCTGAGGAAGACGCGTCTGCGCCGGGGAGTTTGTGTTATGCGAGCTGTCCTCACTCCACACTGCCTCCTAGCCTTGTCTAAACAAAAGGAAAATGAACAATTCCAGCTTCTGAGTCACAAGAAAATGGTACCAGGTAGTATCTTGTGAAGGGCTGAGATTTAAGAGCTTCCTTTCGCCCCGCATGTCCATTCTTGTCATGTGTTTTTCTTGCCCAGCACGAGTCACGCGCTAGGACTACAGTTGTGTGATCTTTCCGGCTTTGAGGTCTTAAGTTGGCTGAATAACCCGTGAGTCTGGGGTTTTTTATTTTTGGTAGAGACAGTCTCACTTTGTCGCCCTCGGTAGAGTGCTGTTGCGTCACAGCTCACAGCCACTTCCAGCTCCTGGGCTTCGGCGATTCTCTCGCCTCAGCCTCCCGAGTGGCTGGGCCTACAGGCGCCCGCACAACGCCCGCCTATTTTTTTTTTTGGTCGCTGTTTGGCCGGGGCCGGGTTCGAACCCGCCACCCTCGGTATATGGGGCCGGCCACAGAGTATGTTTTTTTTCTTTTACAACAAAGAAAACCTTAAGTGCTGTGTCTTTGAAGAATATAATTACGTGGAGGAGCCCAACAAGTTACAAAGCAGTGGGAGGAGGGGGCCCATGGATGGTAGTTGCTTTCACACCCGCCTGAAACGAAAGGAATGATTTATAAAATCTTCTTGGGGGGCTGGGGGAAACGCTCCCGTGATTTCACTCTCCTGAGTTAGCTCCTTTCAAAAGGAGAAAGGAAGGGCCCAGCAGTGGTGGGCTACTGGCACCCGTGACCGGGCAGGGGGCGGCCCCGGGGGCTTCCTCCGCGTAGTTCCCGGCGCCGGCGGGGGAGGGGGCGGCGCTCAGAATCACGCAGCGGCCGCCCAGAGCCCGCCGAGGGGTCGGGCCGAGCCGGGGGCCAGGCCAGAGAGCGCACATCCGACGCCAGGCTTCCTTCCTAGGGTAACAGCTCCGGGAGCGAGGCGCAAAGGCAGCTTTCGAGCCCCTCTTTCCACCTGGGGGCTTCGGCAGAGCCCAGGAGGCTGACAGGAGCAGCCC